ATATATATATATATATATATATATATATATATATATATATATATATATATATATATATATATATATATATATGTACATATACATACATATGTATGTATATATACATATATATATGTATATATAAACTTCATTGCACTTTTTATTTTCCTGGTATTACAAGTGTATGCTTGTCTATTACTTCGTTGCAGAAAATACCTCAATGAATTTAAATATTGTCCGGTAATTCTTATGTATCAACTGTAATATTGGTAGGGATGTTTCCTTATTTTGGTTCATATCATTATTTTGATACAGATCATATCTTTCTCCTCAACTGATCGACGGTTTAGAGCCTCATTTTTAAGGTCTAAAGTTTAAGATTTTGATGGGATTGGATTTTCTTCATTCAAATCATGTTATACATCGAGACCTGAAACCGCAGAACATTCTAATCAATCGTGATCAAACAATCAAAATTGCTGATTTCGGCTTAGCTCGCTACTATTCAATGCAGTCATCTTTCACGACACTGGTTAATCTTTGGACGTCTGCCGTTCTTTTGGTTATCCTCACTCGCTGTTTCAACGCTGTTTGGATTTTAGGTTGTGACTTTATGGTACCGAAGTCCAGAAGTGCTGCTGCAGTGCTCCTATAACTGTGGTGTAGATATATGGGCTGCTGGGTGCATCATCGCGGAATTATATTCGCGGCAACCGCTTTTTCCAGCACACAGTGAAGCACAGCAATTGAGTATTATATTCCAGTAAGTTTTCAGAACTTTCGCTTTCTTTCTCAGAACCAATCGCTTTGCAAAAAACCGTGGGGTGTGTTTTGCTTGAATTTTCAAATTTTATTTTCTTCCCAAATATGAAACAAAATTTGAAGGTTTAACTGAGGGATATTACCATCATGTCTTGGATATAATCGTTTATTATTTGAATAAAATTGTTATCCTCTTTCAACATTATGAATTGTATAGGAGCATAAATTATATCTTGCAGAAAACTTGGCACTCCGTCCTCTAACGAATGGCCCCAAAATGCAGTCATTGAACGTTCATTTTATCCGTCGTATCCTGGGCAGCCAATGCGCCGCATTGCACCGAAATTGCCAGCAGATGCCGCAAAACTAGTAAAAGTATGCTACTTATCTTTACATAACCTGTCTTTGCGTAGCTTCACAAAACTTCCTAGGATTTCTAAGTAGCTGGGGAAAGCTAGATCAACGGCATGTCTCTTCATGCTTTTTCATCCGTCATTTTTTCCCTTGAATTAGAGAAAATTTAAGTAAATTTTGCTAGTTTTGACTCTCCATTCTCATCCGTATTTATAACCAATTTCCAGTAAATTAAAACCATATATAAATTTTTTGAGTGTACTGTTTACATGAATGTACTCTTCTGCAAATAACGGAAGTAAAAAAATGCAGTCAAACAATAATTTCAGAGTATGTTAGCTTTCTTGCCGGAAGCAAGGCCTTCTTGTGCAGAAGCATTACGTACCGAGTATTTTCGCCAGAAACATGGTCCGGTTGTTTAATAAGATTGGAAAGTGAATATTAGCAGTGAGCAAATATCTCTATGACTTCTTTTTTTTTTTTGATCTCTTGGACAATCTATCATTTTATTCTGCTGAATTTATTCTGCACTTTCTCTCATAATTTATGCTATTCATTTTCTTGTCCTGTATATGAATGATATCTTTCTAACTGCGGTAAATATCTTTGAATTTCCCTCTACAAAAAAGCGAGATGAAGTCTTTTTTTGTCACCTTATATGACAATTTCTTTCCCGTTGTGCAAGTCATATAGACTTTTCATCCACTCCGAAAAGTTTAGTAACTCATCGTTCGCTTTGCTGTTAACTGCTTGTAAAGATGTCATTTTGGACATTTGTGATTATTTGATATTAGGAGTGGACCTGATTAGTTTCCAGTCTTGCTTTTTTAAGTAAAAGTCGGATTTTTATGACCTTTAATTGATTTCCTCCAGGGTCAAAATCTTCTAATTGGTTTCCCAAAAAAAAAGTGTGTGATATTTTTCATTGATCTTGATCCAAAGCTGCTTTGCAATCTTTTATAGCTGTCTGCCCAGTTTGGTTATTGATTGCAATATGTAAAGCCAATCGTTCGTGATCTGTCCTTAAAGTTGTCACTTGTGCCTCTTCTATTGTTTTTTAATTTTAGCAAGCTAACCAGACTCCCGCTAAATTTTATTTTTTAAAATTCTATTAATCGCTTTCTGTTTCTGGAATCTCAGCTATGTTACACTTTGATGTGGGCAACGTATCTTTCCGGCTAACTTCAAATAATCTAGTATGGCGTATAATAGGAGCTCAAAAGAAACTCCGGGAAAGTTGTGGTTCAATTTTAAGCATTCGAGAAAATTCTGATTCAAAAGCTTAAAGCTGTAGTAGCCCTTCAAGCCTTTTTCCACGTCTATTTGCCATTCATTATAAACGTTCCTTACTGCCATTTCAAATTTATTGTTATGTTGTAATAAATTTAATCGTATTCCTAATACTGTTCACTCATCAGTTTTTCTTTTCCTCTTTGATTTTTTATCAATTTCTGGCTGATTCTTCTAATATCAATGCGAAGAATGGATATAGCGCAAAATTTTTCAATCATTTTTAAAATTTCTCTGCATAGCTGCCTTGCATCATTGGGATTTTTTTTCCTTTAGCTTTATGGGCATATCAAAATTGCATAGTGTTTCTGCGAAGACCTGATAAAGTCTTAGACGACAACTCAGCATTGGCTACAATCAGAACTTTGATACTTCTTTATTAGAGTTCCCTTTTGCAACTTACTACCTTTGATTTGGATTAAAAATATGTCTACATGAATATTCATCCCCACATATCCGCATAACAGTGACCGAATAGTTTTTCAATTCTGAGTATCTTGAACAGGACACAATATCTATGTCTCGCATGCTATCGACTTGACTGATTTAAACCAT